AATTGATCGTTCCTTGGAAAATAGTTCGTACAACGCAAATGAAAAATGAATTCAGCCTAGAAAGCCGGGTATCTAGCTTACAAGAACGTACATAGAATCCGGCTATAGTTGAAAACTGCTTTCGAAAAATTAGGTCGCGGCCCGCGATTGGCCGACCGAGAAGGGGGATGGGGGGGACTGCCCTTGAGCGTATAGTTGCTCGATTCCAGCATGAAAGTTTCACGACGAAGAAACACGAACGAACTTCCCGGGGAGTTTCGTTTTATGGAAGCACCGACAGTTTTTCTTGTCTCTCCACGTCGTCGATAGGGCCTCTGATAAAAGAGACATCTGGCTTCTGTTTCGTGTCGACTCGGGGGCTTTTGTCGAGCGTTGGAAAAGAAGACCTCTGACGTTGTTTTATCGTTCCTTATTCCGGAAATGTCGAAATTAACGCGAACCCCTTTAGTCATCTGGGAAAAGCGAATGAGTCACGTTTCGTTATTCGATGAATCGCGAATTCGAAGGTTTCTCGTGAATCTTTCAGCCCACAGACGTCACTATTCGTATATTAATTTCGCGTTGACGAGAACCTGGCGAAATCTCGATCCAGCAGGATATCGAACAGATTCTATGGAAATATTTCTCGACTTTCGTCGATATAAGGAGTAGCTTTAAAGAAATTTTTCCAGTCGTGTCGGTTCGAGATATTCTGTTTATCGTGCTTCTCGACGGAGGACAGATGTCTGCGATCGGGGTATCGGATCGGGAGAAAAGCAGCCAAGAAATACATACGTCACTGGACGGGTATGTATTATTCTATTTTCTTGGAACCCAGAGATGTCGACTGATGCGTTCACTTATTCCTTACGAAGTTGGAAACTACTAGGGAGTATCGATGTTCCGGGTATCATTTTTAGGAGACTTCGATGCCAGTCAAATGATGTCTCTTAACAATTCCACGTTGTTGTCGTACGATGCAATGAGACAATTTTGAGTTTAAATTCGATTTAGTTGGATTAGCTGCCACGCGAAACCTCGAGAGAGAGAGAGAGAGAGAGAGAGAGAGAGAGAGAGAGAGAGACATATTGAACGGTAATCGATATTTAACCTGGCAGCAAACGGGGGGCGGGATCGGAAAAACGAAGAATGGGCTGGAACGCAACAGTGTCCATAAAACATGGTCGCAACATAGTCGCACGACGACTGACGGTCCATTCAGATCCCTTGCAAAATCCGCCCGCCCCTCTCGCAGTCGTTTACATTTCGATTCCAACGAACGTTCTCGTCTACCTTCCACCGTTCGTGTATCCATCATGTATTTAAAAAAACAACAACAAAAGAAACGTAAAACGCTCGCAGAATTATACGTCAAACTGAAATTGTTTCGTATCCAATACGTCATTCCCTTATCGAGATCCTAAAACGCTGCGCCACTCTCGGCTGGAAGGCAAATACGGGGGCATAACCCTAAGTCGGAACCGAAACAATGGGAGTCAACTGACATTCGTCCAACCGACCAAATAGGAAAAAACCAATTTCGATTTTCCCCACCCCGTTCTGATCACATCTAGGATCTTTGTGAACACCTGGATACAGGTGGCGGAGGATCGGGGTAGCAGCTGTCTGTAATTCCTCACACCGCTGCCACATAGACACTTCACTTTCAACAGGACATCGGATAGGCAGTGTACAATCTGTTATTCTTGGTGCAACCAACAAAGGGGTGACTCTAGGGTTCTAAGATTCTAGCGATTCTAGGATTCTAGGATTCTAGAATTCTTCCAATTTTTGAGATTCTAGGATTTTAGGATTCTAAGATTCTAGTGATTATAGGATTGTAGGATTCTGGATTCTACGATTCTAGAATTCTTCCAATTTTTGAGATTCTAGGATTTTAGGATTCTAAGATTCTGGTGATTGTAGTATTCTAGGATTTTAGAATTCTAAGATTCTAGTGATTGTAGGATTCTAGAATTCTTCCAATTTTTGAGATTCTAGGATTTTAGGATTCTAAGATTCTAGTGATTGTAGGATTCGAAGATTATAGAATTCTAAGATTCTTGTGATATGATTCTAGTGCTTCTAATATTCTAGGATTCTTGTATTCTAGTATTCTAATATTTTAGGATTATAGAATTTGAAGATTCTTGTAATTTTAGGATTCTAGTGATTCTATGGTTCTAGTATTCTAGGATTCTTGGGATTCTAGGATTCTAGTATTCTAGGCTTCTTACGACTCAATAACTCTAGAATTCTAAGATTCATGCGATTCTAAAACTCGAGCGAATCTAGGCTTCTACCGATTCTCAGGATCTTCATCTCATGTCTAAACTTATCGTTCACAACAGATCGACGTAGCGATCAGGCAGGGGCTGACGGTCGGATGGCGTGCGACTAGGTGATCGTGTTTTCCACCCCTAGCGCGAGAGACACTGGCCTTTTGTTTTCCGGGCGCGATGACGCGGCGTCGTCCGCGGGCGCGTGTACCTCACCCCCTCGTGCCGCGTGGGTTTCCCGCGCGCGCGTCGTCATCCTCCTCATCGTCGTCGCGACGACGCCTCGCGAGCACGCGCGACTGAATCCCCTCCGCCTGGCCGTGGAGGCCGAAACGAAGAAGAGTAAAACCCCGCCGAATGGAAAAAGGCCGACGACGCCGCCGTCGCCGCGCGTCGGCGTCGCCGGGTGGCGGCATTCTAAATTTAGGAGGAAGTATTGATTTTACAATTTGGACCCCTCCCAAAGTAAAAAATAAACCAAGCCAAACGTACTCTACTTTGATAGAGTGCCTCTCCTCTGCGCGGCTCGTTTCGACGCACGGCCGAGACGGAGATACAAAAAGGGAAACATGGAGGGGTTGCAGGGGAAAAGGGGTTTGGTGGGTGGTGCGGCGCGGCTGGTTCGGTTAAGGGGGTGTTGGCCGATTGGGGAAGGGTGAAACACAGAGAGTGGGGGAGAGGGAAAGAAAAGAAGAAGATAGCGATTGCTAGGGAAAGTGAGGGGGTTAGGGTGAGCGCCTGGCGAGAAAGGTAGAGGGAATGGAAGAAAGAAAGAAAGGATGGCGAAAAGGGAGGATTGATAGAGGGGTTCGTCGGTGGGAGGGGGGAGGTGAAGGAGAACCACTAGGGGTGGTGAGGGCGGAGAAAGGTAGAGAGTGTGGCGAAATACCGTAGTTCCAGCCTGCTAAGAAACAAAGAACGGAAAATTGATCGTTTGTTAAGTTTTATGTTCCCCGGGGCAAGCGAGGGTGGTCTGTACCCATACCACCTGAATTTCTTCTCATTCTCTCTATCTTTCCCTCTGTTCTCCCTGTCTGGATCTCCGTCTATCGTACATCGGTTCGGTTCTCTTTCTCTGGTCGGCGACGCGCAATAAGAAGAAATTCTCCGCCCGTCAGGCAGGCCAGGCAAGGGTAGGCACCGCGACGCAAGGAAAGAGGTGGGCACGCAGAAAAACGTACAGAAGGAAAAATAACGTGGGCAGGGGGGGGGGGTGGTTGGGCGAAACAGGGCTGGGCGTGGAGTGATAGAGAGACACGTGTACGAGGAAAAAAGTGACTGGGAACAGGGGACTGGACGAGAATGGGCACATCGCGAAAGTCAATGGAAGCTGGACGAGATTGCCTTCGTCGTCTGTTGTCGTCTGCTCGCCCGGGGTTGTTTTTTTCCCTCTGTCCGACGGGGGATGAAGTTTAATTACGAGGAAACGCGTTTATTGGACCGCGACTCGCGCTTTTTATTCTTTTTTTTTTTTATTACGTCGGGAAAGGTCTTGCCGAAATTCGTCTCTCCCTCTGAGAGACTTGAAAGCGCTTTTGAATTTCCCTGAAATTAATTCGGTTGGCGTTCAGAAACTAGAGTAATGTCTCGATGAGTGCGATATACTCGGGTCCGCTTCGGAGCACTCATAGCAAGGCGGAAAAGTTTTCAGCTCCTCGGGAATTTATTTTTTTGCACAAAGTCGAGCCTCTGCTTAGCTTCTGTTTACCCTATTTTAATTGGTTCCACAAGGGAAGTCCCCCCAGTGTTGAGAAAAATGCGGTTGTTCGTGTCGCATTCATCGAGGGATCACTGTACTACGAGGAGGGTTTAAAATCGCGAGTTTCTCGTGTCTCTAATTGAACTACAAATAAGCTGTACATACCAATTTTTTACTTCGTTGGTCGTGTGTTTTACACGAGTATCAACGACGTAGTCCGCGAGAGGACACGAAAACGCGGGAATTTCACGGATAAAGGAAACGGGTGAAATCGCGTGTCCGGTTTCACCGAAAGTGAAAATGGAGCAGCACACGGGTCTGGTACGTTAAATAAAATGCGGCTCTGTAACGCGTTAAACGACGCGGAGTGAACGACTATACGACGGTGGCCAGCTGAAAAAAAAAAGTATTTCAAAGCGTGAAAGAGAGCCAGACCGGCGAGCAGCAGAGTCACGTGTTACGGGAGGGAAAGGGATTTTAAAGCGAATAGGAAACTATCGGAGCCCCTGGGCGAAGGGCGGCGGAGCTGTCACCGTTTAAGGGTCAACGGCTAGCTGTTGCAATTACTCTCTCTCTCACTGCGGGACTCGGAACTTTCACGCAAATCCGAATGAAAGTGACATGCCTGGTAATCCTGAACGTTGCGTTTCCAATTACGAATTCCTCTGGTTCTCTTTCGAAAACGAATTTTTGGCGTACACGCTGAAGCATGGTCCCTTTAAGAGGGAGGGGGATAATAGAAATATGGTGTTCCATCGACAAAACACTATTAATTGTTAATCCTCTTGAAATTTGACAAAATGATCCATTAATTTTGCAAGCAAAGTGAACTTTACGGATGACAGACTGACGGAGGGATTGAAAATTTTCATTGATCAACAGACCATTGTTTTTACATCGGTCGCAACTATTTTGTTTAACCCTTTAACGACCAAACCCCGTAAATCGTTATTTATGAGACGTAGCAATTCTTTTGTTAAATTTTCAACGAAATTTATAACTGGTAAAAATTTCCGTGAGCCATCTTAAGTGTCTCGGCTTACCTTGTGCGCTCTGAGAGTCTTGCCCTCACAGGCGAGGGTGACGTCGCAGTACGCCTGCCGCTCGAGCAGCTGTGAGAACATAGTCTGTAGGTTGCTGTGATGGTATTTCCATCGTAGACAATACTGTTGGGGGAACATGTTGGACGATGACGTCGCGGGAGGTGTCGTTACTGAGCCGCCTCGTTGCTGAAGCATGCGCGTGAACCTTGCACAAGCCACGGGGACTGTTTGCGTGTGTGTGTCCGGTGTGCTTCACCTCGATGCCCACCGTCGCCTTACCCCTTCGCGCTGAAACAATAGTTCGATATCAGAAGTGGGAACATTGCGATTAAAAGTACACCAAAACAACCTCTGTCATTGAGATCACTGCGAGGATACATGAATATCTTAAGGAGTTAGCCCACTCTGATCACTTGAAAGTCATAGGTATGTACCCTCGCGAGCAAACTCGTTTTCCAATAGGGAAAAAAATGGAGTATGAGTAAGGGCCTCCTACCAGTTGGTAAATTTAATTCAAGTACTGAAATAAATATTAAAATAAATGTTAATTTGACATAAACTTCAGAAACTTTAGAAACCTAGTGGTAGGTTTGTCTGCACCATTTTTTTCTCTAGTGGAAGTCGAGTTTTGCACGTCAATGTATACCGACGAGTAACCTCGGCTTCCGCTAGGAAAAAAAGTGACGTAGAAGAAGGGCGTTCTAGCACTTGGTAAATTTATATCAAGTACTGAAATCAATGTTGAATCGAATGTTAATTTCATATAAATTTCAGTAATTCCCGATAACAAGTGATAGGAGACGAGGAGACTGTTTCAGACGGGAACTGATTCGAAGATTCGTAGGGGTAGTAATCGCGATTGGGATTACGTTCCCACGTTGTCCGTGGACTAATCAATTATCATACGATTCAGCGCGGGATATTGCGTTCGCGAAATTACGACCGGTTCGAGAGGCGGTAATTTATGTTTCCTGCAGATGGGAGGCTACTTTGTTCCCATCTGTTGCCGTTCGATACGGAAGAAAAACGCTTGTGTTCCGGTTGGATTGAAATTTTCTAACTGATCTCTAGACGCGGTAAAAGCCACTCTTACAGGTGTCAGTCGACGGGAAATCGGTCGTCGGTTCTCTGGACGTCGAACCACCGATCCGGGGGGGCCGACTGTCGATCGACGAAAGTTGTTTAAGCGGTCGTTGCTCGATGTGTGTACGCGTGCATCACTTCGATGATACGCGTCGATTGGCGGCTTCCCTGTTGAGACGTCGATGATACCTCGCGTGTTCCTCCTGAAACATATGAGAAGAGAAAAAACTTATCAGTGAACGTACCATTGATCCTGCTTCAGTTTAGAACTGGAAGTAGTCGGATATTCGAACTATTCGAATAATTTATTCGATTACTTCGAATATTCGAATAGTATTAAGTATTCCCTGACGGATCCGCGTCGTTTTCGGAGGCTTTTACAAACGTTAAACCAGTTCGCATAAGGTCAAATCGGCGTGCGCTTTTTAGTCAAATAATAGTTATTTATTCTCTGCAACAAATTACTCTTTCTACTTATTTGAATGATTAATCATTATTTATTTAAACAATTTAGTAATCATACCACTAAATGATAATTGCTCTTGTTTCAAAATTTATAAAGTCACCAAAGTGACGCAGATTCAGATTTAACATTTGAAATACAAATAATTGTAAAAGCCAATGTGAAAGGAATTTCACCATAACGTGTGAAAAAGTATATTATGTTTGGATTCCTATTTTGTACAATCCAAAATTCGATCACTTCGAATATTCGAATACTCCGAATAATCCGAATACTTCGAATATCGAATACAAATTCTATTGCTTTTCGAATATTCGTAATAGCCCTACACTAGTTAGCATTTTCATACGCGATTAGATTAGATTTCGACTTAGTTTCACATGGTTCGAGGATTAGCTCCCCTCGGGTTAGGTACCAGCTTCGAACAAGTTCGCTTGAGTCCACTTCGTACCGACCGCCACCAGTGCAGATTCGATTCTCCCGTTGCATTCGGTTCTATTCAATTAAACCCGAACAAGTTTCGATCGATTGTGCCCCCTCCCCTAACTTTCTTTCCTCTTTTTATTCTCTCTGTCCGCCAAGTTCGATTAGGTTCGGTTTCATCCAGTCCGATTAGAGGCGCGATTCGAACCACTCTTCCTGCAGATCGTTCGACAAAGGTACCGGTGCTTCATACAGTAAATCCTCGATGAATGTTCGAAGGCTCATCGACACTGACAGAGGTCTCCACAGGTGTAACGCTGACATTTTAATGAGGTTTAGTAGAATGATAGAGCTTGGAACTCTGAAGTCAATGGTATTTGTTTCCGCCGCATATGGTCATTAATTTATGAAATATTTAATGTTTAGTGCCGAGCAACCTTCGAATACTTATCAAGGATTTACTGTATTCATGATTCCCGTAGAGATGTCTGTAGGCTACGGCTCGACGCAAGACATACACAACGTTCTCGTAAAATCGACCGGGTCATCATGCTTCAGGTAACCGAGACAGGAATTTTTCTGTTAGCAGAATAATTAAAATGGAAATAATACACACAGGTAGTATCCTGAGCTCGGAACAGTAGCCGGCCACCGGTTGTCAGTGGTCCACTTTACGACTCCCCCACACACGCGCTATATCATTTGGATCGCGGCTACAGTTTCACGGAACGACCCGTCACGTAAAGCTCACTGGTCTATGACTTCGACAGACGGTTAAGCACCGAGGGGGAAAAGGAAATAAGAAATTCCGGCGGCGGCGACGACGACGTGTATAAACGCCAATGGGAACGTTTCGTTCCCTGTCGTGTAAACGATCGTTTGTCGCGGTGGAACGAGGATGAAAGCTGGTAATTACTATTAAATCGACGACTACCATTCCCCCCTTTAGCCTGTAGACTGGCTATCGATCGTCCACGGTGTTTGCTATTCCCTCGTTCCTTTCTCGTGGAAAACGTCTGGAAAGAAGACGGGGAATCGGGCCGAAAAGTCGAGCAGCTACACAGCCGTGTCTATCTCTCTATTGGGCAGAGGATCTTTCAACGGAACAACAAGTGCCAACGGACAAATGATTTCCCAAACGAAATTCTCTCGATGCACACGATTCCCTCATCCCACGCGCATCGGGCCTCTCGAATATCTTATTAAACGAACGAACCGATGAATAATAAGCTGAAACAAAAGCAACCGTGAACAGAGAGGAGCCTGTTCAATACCGAACGCTGAAGCTTTTTGAAGAGTTAGCAGTACGAGGGGGAGTGCTGGATGGGGTCCAAAAGAATCCACGGACTTCAACGGAGAGGATGGGAATTTCCGTGACTCTTGGAAAAGAAGGAGGAGAAGAAGAAATTTCCCCTCGTTCCCCTGGTTGCATTATCTGGAAACGATTAACGCGAACCGCTTGTATCTATTAGCATAATTATCGGACGGACGAGTTCGTAAAATCCGTGAAAGTCAAATATCGGCATTCAAGCTTTCATCGGGATGGTGCACAGGACCGAACTGATGATCAAGTTCCTATTAAGGACGCGATCGGAAAGCTGATTTCGCGGATCTACAATTTGAACCGATGACACATACTGGCCATGAAATCCTCGTTTACCTTATCCAACAAAGGGCTAACACACACACACATGCATTGTGTCGCGTGACTTTGTTCGTCCTGTGAATCGATCGATTAACTTTTAATCCAGGCAAGGAATTGCGGTTGATCGGGTGTCAGAAAGTCGTAACAAATTAAGGATCCGTGTTACGCGGACAGGTTGTTCGTTGACGGGTGATCAACCGGTTTAATCGTTTGAGTGTCGAAACGTGCCACTGCACCAACATTCTTTTTTTTCCTTTCGATACACGGAACGAAACAACTTTGATCGCTTGGCACTTTTGACGGAGTTTCTGTAATGATTTCTGACAGTTAAATGGTTGAGAGGTCAGCCTACCCTGACCGTCTGAAAATTATCGGTAAGTTTGTGAATTTTTTCTGGGAACACAATAAAGTAATCTGAAAATGAGTTACAAAGTCTGTAACATACAGGGTGAACCATGAATCGGGATCATTAGATATCATTAGATGTGAGATCAACATCGGAACGCGTACAATGGGGTAGCATATGATACTCTTTGTAATATTACAGTTCGAATATTTCTTTAATTTTTTCTCGACCCAGATGAAAAAAAAGTAACACATGTTATGTTATGATACTTATCGAATTCGTCTTGAAATCCTTTAACAGATTGGCGTAAAAAAATTATAAGTGTATTTGCAAAAAATTGAAGGTGACCTTGAAAAATCATGAAAAAAGAGAGTTGACAAAAAATTTGCCAGAATCACGTTAAAGCTCTCTTGAAACTATGCTATACATGATAAAAACATTTTCGATTGGACTGCTAATAACAGAGTAATCTTTACTGATCACGATTCGTGGTTCACCCTGTATACAGGGTGAGTCGATAAGAACTACTATCTAAAATAACTCGTTGCCAATTGATTGTATCGGAAAACGTTTTAATGGATTATGTAGCATTTTAAGGGATGCATCGGATGGATACGATTTAATTTTTTTTTTTGGATATCGAGGTGACCTTGAGTTTTTCAAGGTCAATGCATCTTTCTTTTAATTCCATCATGCTATACGTCGTTGAATTCGTCCTTTTAAAACGTTATAAAGTAAACGTTAACCCCTTGCCATACCATTTCTTTTAATTACCTACTTTATCGTTATTATTCTCCCAGATACAAAAGGAATTCTATTCTTATAGCAAGTGTTACATTTATTCTAAATCTGAAAAGTTAAAACCAGCGAACCAATATTTCACGTCAACTTAAAGAAAACGAATAATATACATATTCACTAAATTCAGTTTGAAATCGTTATCACGTGTCTGACTCGATGTTGTAAGGCACCTACAAAAAAAAATTATTAACATCAGAATGTGCCCCTACTGAAACCATTCAACTCTACGTGAACCATTTTTCGCTACGAATAAGAACAATCACGTAAATCGAAGTGGTAATATCTGCTGAATCACCCTGTATATATATCTGGTTTTATAATTCGTTTCTACTTTACTTTATTGCATTCCCAAAAAAAATTTAGAAAGGTACCTAGGATTTTCAGGTGGTCAGAGTGGTCAACCTCTTAAACGATTCCGCCTTCGATTATTTCAGCCTCCGAATTGGCTTGTAAATCTTATCGAAAAGATGCGATGGAGGGCAATATCTAAGGCACGCACACAGTTTAGGCTGTAACGCTCGACTGCGGGTTTAAAATTTCCCCTCGAGGGCCGTGAGTCTTCCGCGGAGCTCTCTGGTATCGTGGGAATCGATAAATTCCGCGGAAACGGAAAACGCTGCGGGTACAATACGCGAAAACCCGAGTGATACGCGAATTCCCGAAAAATTACAATCCCCCCCCCCCCCCCCCCACTCAATTCCGCCATCTTGGCAATTTCTTGGTCCATTTTGGTTTTATTTATTTATTCATTTAATACCTCATCTTTATTAAGACAGATGATAAGGATAAACGGGGATAAATCAATATTGAAATATAATTACAAAAACGCATGTAAGTTTGCAACGTACAAGTCACATACTTTACTTTACAAAATTTTACAAACCGATTTTTCAAAGCTGCATATGCTAATACCAAAAAAAATTTAAACAAGTACAGTAAGATACCATATATGCGAATTTCAGTAAATCCTTGATCAGTGTACGACGGCTGCTCGGCGCTTTAATTAAATATTTCATTAACTAATGGCACAGATGATGAAACAGAGATCATTGGTCTCTGAACTCCAATCTCTATCACTGTGCTAAACCTCATTGAAAAAGTCAGCGTTACACCTGGGGATCTCTCCTTATCAGTGCCGAGGAGCTTTTAAACACTCATCGAGGATTTCCTGTATATGGTCTGAATTTAATAATTGATGATACATCCCTCGTAGGGGAATAAAGAGTCTGAGACAATGAATAAGGGTATTACAGACTCCCTCGATTACCGTCCCGAACTTGTGTCCGCGCCAGGACAATAATCTTATAGGAAGAAATGCTTCAGACCTTCGTAAATTCGTTTTTTGTCCGAAGCTCGAGCCTTGGCAACAAAAGCAGAGGGGCAATAAAGTATGCACTTGACAGGTTCTACATCCCCCAATGGTGGGGATAACGCCTGGACAATAATCGTGTAGAACAAGTCAGACGATAATCGAGAGGAGTCTGTTACAGTCTCGAATAGGAAAAGCATATCTGCCATAATACTC